CCTTACTAAGGAGTGGATAACCAGTAGAGAGAAGTCCATCTGAAGTACCTATGTATATGTATAATATCAAAGCAATCAGACTTGCAGTTTTCAAAAAGAAATCAAAAATATTACTTTTCACTAAAAAATTTCAATAATATTCATAAAAATTAGAGAATGAAGATATCATAACGAAATATAATATCAAAGCAATCAGATTTGTGGTTACCAGCAAGTCGAAAATATCACTTTTTACTCCAAAATGACAAAAATATTCATCAAAATTGAAGATATCATCACAAAATGAATAAATTTGAGAGAGGTTCATCTGAGGTTCCCATGTGTATAATATCAAAGTAATCGGACTTGTGGTTTTCAACAAGAAGTCGAAAATATCACTTTTTATCAAAAATATTTATCTAAATTAGAAAATTTAAGATATCATCACAAAAATAACAAAGAAGAAGTCGAAAAAAATTCAAAAGTTGACATGGACAATCAGTAATATGAACAGCTCCATTCAAGAAAGTCAACAGCGGAGCTAAAAACTGGTGGTAGATTTTGGGGGCACATTTTTATTCAAATTTATTCAACAAATTTATCAAGCTGCGTTTTCCCTTGACTTCTTTATTGGCTGCCAGTGGGTCATGCCAACATATCCCTAACCAAGTGAAGTGAATGTGTATGCCACCACATATATTTCAAAGCACATCTGCAAATTGATGTCATACGAATCCAACGGGTCTTTGAGGCTTACTTTCAATAGATGCGTCACTGGCACAAGGGGATTCCAAATGATGCGATGAGAAATAATGATTATTGACACATCTTTGACACAATTAAACAAATGTAATTCATTGAAAAAAAATTCTTTCTGTAAACAAAGATTTGGTAACATATAAATTGATTGTAATTCAAAAAATGCCATCTACAGCCATCTTCAAAAATCGCTAACTGACAACTATATTACCCTCACCCATACTTGACATATCAAACTCAGAATGTGTAACACTGCTACTCATTGCTGATGTACAGATTGACTCACTAAAACATCTTTTTTTGACTCGCAAACCACTGTATGTTAGAGGGCACACTGACCAAACGTTGAACACAAAATACAAAGTCCTTGTTCTGAACTTATTCCAAAGGGAAGTAACAACAATACAACCGAAGGCACTAATGTGTTAATTGCAAGAAGTAAAACTCTCAGTCTTTAACCGACTTCAAGCACCAACAACAAAATATTTATAGTCGCATTTTTTATTAAAAAATAAAAGGAATGTCACATTTTCTCTGTTTTGCACAATTTTTAGATTGAATTGAGCGAAAATAACAGAAAATGTGAGAAAAATTTACTCAAATTTTAGTGGGAAAACAAATTGGGCACTCAAATGGTTAAATCTAGCTTGGATGTGTCACGAAAGTAAAGATCACTCAAATGTAATCTAGTGTTATTTCAGATTTTAACCCATAATGAAGCAACAACCACTCAATGAGCATCTCAGTCTGAGCAAACACTACTGTAAAACATGTTGAAAAAGCGACACGCAATTTTAGCGAATTGTGGTAAAATGACGTAATAGCGAAATGTTGATTTAATGAATCTCTCTTGTCATTGTTGATTTCCTGTATACAGTATACAGAGTTTGCCTTCAGGTAAATCACTAATTCAGTCTAACTTAATTAATGAAATAAGCAAAATCCAAGTCAGTTTATATTTATTGAGTGATATATTGTACAAGAACCATGGGTGTAACTTTACTGTGCACTTAAGGGTTTTTCTAAAATGTATTATATGGGATTTCCTCGATTTTAATAAAATGATTTTATGTTTTCTGAAAACCCACATAGAAACATAGAATGTGGTTGCCTACAAACATCAAACATCAATAACAAAAAGTCCGCATTAGTTAAATGGTATACAAAACTGAAATAGGTAAGCCACTTTAAATCAGATCATGAAACAAATTACAAAATGTATATTGTAATTGTAAAATTTGATTGTAATCAGTCAAGAACAGCATTTGCATTTGACCATTTTGAATCTGATTATTAAAAGAATGAACATACATATGTATTCTAAGATGTACGATGTATGCGTAAAATTTGATCAGGCAAGGCATGTTGAGGTGGGCAC